CTAGGAAAACATTGTAGCTCCACGCGACATTTCAATAGAAGCCCAGCCTAGGGCTAACGGGGTATGTGATGAAAATTACAGAAGAATAGGAAAATGTGATGACTGGAAGATCGGAGCTCGGAAACAAAGTTTGCGTTAGAGAGTGGTAGGAGTAAAGATTACGCTTTTGATAGCCGTCCCCTGTAAGTCTGTCATACACGATTCGCCAAACTTCTGAGATCACTATTGTTAATAAACTTCGAGTCTACAGGATATGATGGCCAGGATCTAGGGCCTATAGTTATCCAGTTCGATAAGACAGGATCTTTTAAGCTAAGTGAGACCAGTTGACACAGGTTGGGTGAAGTGGATTGCCTCTTGTGTGCACAAATTGAGATCAGGAACTCCTTCAAATGGGATGCGAAACCGTTGTCGAGGCCGTTTACTCCTCTATAAACCCATTTATAGGGAGACATACTTTGGGCAGATTGAAAAACACGAGGATAAGGAGAGGTGTAGATAGAAAAGCTTGGAGGAGTGTTGTGAAAATCATTGAACAGAGCCTGGGTCAAGTGGTTTTAATGATTCAATTTGTCAATATAACGAGTTATAGATGGGCGCTAAGACTGGCACTTCTTGCCAACGATTTTGGCGAAACGTCTGGGGATATACCAGATCAGCTGGACATTAGCATGCTTTAAAAATGTCTGTCACAGTAGGAAAGTTGAAGACTTAGCACGGATTCATCGGGGCTACAGGACGATGCACCAAGCACTTATTTACACAAATCCACAGTGACAACTCCACGGCAATCGTATTTAGGCTTCTGGTAAGGCCAATTTACAACTTGCCAACCCTCCTTTTCAAACGAAATTATAGCTACATCAACCTGAATTTATAAAGAGATTCCTCAAACTCCAGCGTCTCAAGACGTATTTTAATTTAGTGTACCTGAATTCTTCAGCTAATCTTCAGATAGTTTCAAATTGATCACAGTCAGAAGAATTTAATGCATTTTCTATAGGATATAAATCAATTCTCCCGAGAAACGCTGCAAAAATTTAAACCGTTGTTTCAGAGTATGACCAAATAAAGGAATTGATTTATTCCTTTTGCTTCAATATACTGTCCGAAATTCTATCTTCCCGAAAATCGACATTCTAGAGAAGCATTAATATGCTAGTCATGTCTAAGTCCTTAGCTTGCCTGATTTCCTTAAGAAATAGGATTTATGTTGCCCCCTATTTATAATAGATTGAGCTCTGCTTATTGTTGGTTCTATTCTTCATCAGTATATGAATTTAGTGCTCTGCCTTCTCGATATCTCCCCTATTAAATATAAATTTAGTTATATAGAACTTGTTTGACCTTGTTTTCGCAACTTGATCATATTGGTAGGAAGACTTAGAGTAACTCACCTTCTCCGGAGTCCATTATATGCATGATCATTTTCAAAGTCGGACCGTGGATGTGGTACATTCCCAGACGTTTCGCCGGCATCGTCAGTGAGTTTTGCCATTCGTAGCACCATATTACAACTCGTCAAAGAGGCAAGTGAAGCCGATCCTTTGGCAAAAAGTCTGCTAAAAAGTTATAGTATCTTCCATTCTGCCCTAGCCTATTCCTATGTCCTCCAATCATGCCTTCACTGTCACACTTTTTTACTTGCTTAATTGAATGTGGTACGGTGTGCCCTTTTGAGCGGCTTTCATGAGAACCCTCCGCATTACACGCTGCCCTTCTCACCCCCCTTCACTCTTATGCTGGGAATGTTGATCAGAGTCTGCCATATTGTTACGCCGTCCTCCTTCCCTAGGTCCTACTACAGTCTCTCTCTTGCCCCGTAAGATCCGTCTACCCTCTCCCTGGTTCACATATTTTTTTATTATTATGACCAAGTTGCGAAAAAAACGTCAAACAACTTCTATACAACGAAAGGAGACTGCGAGCACACAAAAGGCCACACCATCTTGGTCTTCATACCTTGGATAAAGTTAG